AAAAAAGGGGCATAAGTACATTACAAGACTTTCCATTTTTATTTTGATCAGAACTAAGCAAATACCTTTTTCCTTTGTTTCTGTTTTGCGAGAACCAAAATTCCATAAGCAGCTATGGGAGAGGAGAGCAGCAATGCACAAGACCCTCTTCATCAACTAATAATCTCTATGAGAGACGAGATCAAGGCCTTAAGGCAAGACTTTGGAGATAGACTTAGCCATCTGGAGCAAGCACCGAGGGTAACTCTACAGCCAACTCGCCATATTGGAGGATTAGGAACCGGACTCAACACCACTCAGAACACCGGAACCAATCCAAGACACAACGGAGTGCGCATCAACGAACCACACATGACCGAAGACGACTCTTTTCAAGATGAAGAGCCAAACCCTAGGCGTCAAAGACACTGCAGGCAAAGGCGACATGTGCCACAAGACGATTATGGAGATGCTGATGACGAAGAGTATACACCTTACTCTAGACAGAACCAGAACCACATCAAGCTGACCGCACCTAACTTTGCTGGAAAAGTTGATCCGGAGGCTTATCTAGATTGGGAGAAGAGGATGGATCACATCTTCGACTATTACAATCACCCTGGTCCAAAGAGAGTAGCACTAGCAGTGGCTCAGCTCACCGACGGTGCACTTACATGGTGGGACAGAGAAGTGTCAGACCGCAAGAGGAGCCGCTTGAGAGCTATTGATACATAGGTCGACATGAAAGACCTGATGAGGCAAAGGTATGTTCCCCCTCATTTTTATAGAGACTTACAGCGTTGTTTTCGAACTCTTAAACAGGGAACCAGGACTGTAGAAGAATACTATGAAGAGTTTGAGCGCTTGAGGAATCGTTTGGAGCTTCATGACGACGAAGTAGCTCTAATGGCGCAGTTTCTTGATGGTTTGCAAGAGAGGATCAGCCGCAAAGTGGAGAGACAGGTATATCAAGACTTCAAAGATCTTTTCCATTTGTCTATACAGGCAGAACAACACATCAAAAAGGAGATCACTAACACTAGAAGCAAGCCGCAAACCACTTGGAACACCAACTTCAACAAACCACTCGACAAAGGCAAGAGTGTGGAAATTAATTCACGTTTCAAAGGCAAGGCGGTTGAAACAAGCAAAGACACCAGACCAGAGGCAGGTAAGACTAATAACCCTCAGCATGCAAGAGATATTACTTGTTTCAAATGCAGGGGAAGAGGTCATATGTCTCGCGAGTGTCCAAACAATCGAGTGATGCTCATGACCGAGGCTGGAGACTATGAGTCACATGATGAAGCTGATGTTCAAGAAGATCAAGATGATGAGTATGGTGACATAGTTTATCCAGACACAGGAGAGCTCCTTGTCACTAGACGTGTATTAAGTGTAATGTTGGAGCCAGCCGAGACCATACAAAGAGAAAACATCTTTCACAGCCGTTGCACTATAAAGGGGAAGGTATGTAATCTTATTATTGATGGTGGGTCTTGTACTAATGTTGCAAGTGCTCACATGGTTGATAAGCTAGGCCTTGAGAAAACTAAGCATCCACGGCCCTATAGGCTGAGATGGCTCGATGATAAGGTAGAGCTTAAGATTACCGATCAAGTCACCATTCCATTTAGGATAGGAAACTATCAAGATCAAGTTTTATGCGATGTAGTTCCTATGCAAGCTGGTCATTTATTGTTAGGTAGATGATATGATCGTGACCAGCTCAGAGGAGGAGGAACCAGAGGTAGCTGGCAGGATCACTCGTTCCAGAGCTAGAGAGATGGCTAAGGAGGCTCACGCACTCATGGCCGCAGCGGACATCGATCAACTGGAGGCTGGAGCTCACATCTTCAACATCTCTATCTTGAAGAATGAAGAACCCAGTAACAATGACTAGGTAACTTAGGTGATGATTCTGTACTCTTTTCCTTGGTGAGGATTTTGAAAGGCAAGGAGGTTCTTCTCCAAGGTTTTTAACGAGGCAGAAATCATTGCTACGTCGAGTTACTTAGAAGTTGTTACTAATGGGTAATAACGTGCAAAGTCACAATGACTTGTGCACTAGTTGTTTTAGGCGCACCACTTAAGATTTAGAAGGGACGCCTCGCTGTTTTATTTTTAAATCAAACTTCGTGTTGTTTTTATTTCAAACTTCATGTAGTTTTGTATTAGAGCTGCGATTTTCTCTCTTAGTCTATAAATTAGAGAAAATCGCCTAAGTGTTATTCAGTGAAGAATTTTGATCAAACTTTTAACGTGTTCTTCTCTCTTTTTGATTTCTGAGAACTAAAAACTCTGAAATTCGAATCTCTTAAAAACTAATCTGTTTACAAGAGATTCTTCTATCTCATCATCACCACACCATCAATTGATCATCTCATCATCACCACACCATCTCGCATCCACGATCCGATCCACAAGCCACCATCACTTCTCGTCGCATCGATCCATCATCGCGATCATAAGCCATCGTCACTTCATCGTTGTGATCTGTCCATAAAATCGCAGCATCTACAGCCTTTTTCTCAGAGTAGATCACCTTGGATCGTATCAGTAGACCATGGTAATTTGATAGAGAAACTAAGCATGATGGTAGGACTAATATGTATACTCTTATGCATAACAAAAGAAAAGTTAGTTTAGCACCTCTTACACCATCACAAGTGCATGAACTACAAATACAAATGCTTAAAGAAAAAGAAAGTATCTCTAAGTCAAATTTTCTTGTTCAGCCTAGCTATGTTAGAAAAGTTTTTTCTGCAAAACACACAATGCTACTAATGATCTTTAAGGAGATTTTGAGCGCAGGTTTAGGTGAACTTGAACTACAACCGGAGATCACTGATTTACTTGACAGGTTTAAAGATGTGTTCCCTGAAGAAAAGCCTGAAGGATTGCCACCCATTCGAGGCATAGAGCACCAAATAGACTTCATACCGAGAGCAGCTTTACCAAACAAACCAGCTTACCAAATGAGCCCTGAGGAGTCCAAAGAGTTGGAGAGGCAGGTCAAGGAGGTTTTAGACAAAGGATATGTGAGGGAGAGCCTCAACCCTTGTGTCGTTCCTGTCCTATTGGTGCCAAAGAAAGATGGCTCCTGGCGCATGTGTGTAGATTGCCGAGATATCAACAACATCACCATCAAGTATAGACACCCAATTCCAAGACTCGATGACATGCTTGATGAGCTTAGTGGAGCTACCTTGTTCTCAAAGATCGATCTAAAGAGTGGATACCACCAAGTGAGGATGAAAGAAGGTGATGAATGGAAGACTGCCTTCAAGACCAAGCAAGGTATCTATGAGTGGATGGTGATGCCCTTCGGCCTCACCAATGCACCAAGTACTTTTATGCGTCTAATGAACCAAGTTCTTAGAGCATACATCAGTAAGTTTATTGTTGTTTATTTTGATGATATTTTAGTTTACAGCAAATGTTTATCTGATCATGTGTCACATCTTGAGCTTGTTTTAAAGACTCTTCGACAAGAAGGCCTTTATGCAAACTTAAAGAAGTGCGCATTCTGCACTGATAAGTTGGTTTTCCTATGTTTTGTTGTGAGCTTGCAGGGATTACAGGTTGATGAGGAGAAGATAAAAGCCATCAAAGACTGGCCGGCCCCAACAAACATTAGTCAAGTGAGGAGCTTCCATGGGTTAGCAAGCTTCTATCGGCACTTTGTCAAGGATTTCAGTAGTATAGCCGCACCTCTCACTGCTGTGGTGAAGAAAAGTGTTGGTTTTACCTAGGGAGAAGCTCAAAAAAATGCATTTGATACTCTTAAAGAGAAGCTCACCAATGCACCAGTTCTAGCTCTGCCCGACTTCAACAAAACATTTGAAGTGGAGTGTGATGCATCCGGGATTGGCATAGGAGCTGTAATAACACAAGGAGGAAAACCAGTGGCGTTTTTCAGTGAGAAGCTTGGAGGAGCTACGGTTAACTATCCAACGTATGACAAAGAGTTATATGCTCTAGTTAGAGCTTTGGAGACTTGGCAGCATTATCTGATGTCAAGAGAGTTTGTGGTCCACACTGACCATGAAACACTTAAGCACCTTCGAGGACAAACCCATCTCAAGAGGAGACATGCCAGGTGGATGGAGTTCATTGAGAATTTCCCCTACATTATCAAGTACAAAAAGGGCAAAGTCAACATAGTGGTGGATGCTTTATCACGAAGACCTGCACTCATCGCAACTATGGAGGCCAAAGTTATGGGGTTTGAGTTCATCAAAGACCTTTACAAAGAATATCCAGAGCTAGGAGAGAGCTTTGAGGAGTGTAGCAGGGGAACTCATGGCAAGTTCTACATCTATGAAGGCTTTATGTTCCGAGACAAGAGACTTTGTATACCGCAATGTTTTCTTAGGGATCTTATTGTCCGAGAAGCTCATGGAGGAGGAATGATGGGTAACTTTAGAGTAGACAAGACACTTGCAGTGGTGAAAGAGAACTTCTATTGGCCTCACCTCAAAAAGGCTGTAGAAGCTCATTGTGCACGATGCATGATCTGCAAGAAGGCCAAGTCTAGAGTACATCCTCACGGCTTGTACTTACCATTACCGATTCCTACAGCACCATGGGTTGATGTTTTGATGGATTTTGTGCTGGGGCTGCCAAAGATAAAGCACAAAGACTCCATATTTGTAGTGGTGGACAGATTCTCCAAGATGGCACATTTTTTACCTTGTGCAAAGGTTAATGATGCATCTCAAACGGCGGATCTATTCTTCAAGGAGGTGGTGCGCTTACATGGAGTGCCAAGAACCATTGTATCTGACCGAGATAGCAAGTTCTTAAGCCACTTTTGGAGAACCTTGTGGAAGAAGCTTGGCACTAAGCTTTTGTTCTCTACAACTTGTCACCCCCAAACAGATGGCCAAACTAAGGTGGTGAACAGAACCTTATCTACATTGTTAAGGGCCACTCTTGGAAGAAACATGAAGAACTGGTTAGAGTGCATAGCCTTCATCTAATTCGCCTACAACAGAGCTCAGCATTCAGCTACAAAGATGTCTCCATTCGAGATAGTCTATGAATTCAACCCCAAGACCCCAATGGAATTCACACCATTACCACCAGCTGAAGCCGTGAGCTTAGATGGAGAAAGAAGTGCTGATTTAATAAAGAAACTACATCAAAAGGCAAAGGAGAACTTGGAGAAGAGAACTGAACAATATGTGAAGCACGCCAACAAAGGACGCAAAGAAGTGGTGTTTGAACCAGGAGATTGGGTATGGCTGCACATGAGACATGAAAGATTCCCAAACCAAAGGAGTTCAAAGCTAGCACCAAGAGGAGATGGACCTTTCAAGATACTAGAGAAGATCAACAACAACGCCTACAAACTCGAACTACCAGGTGAGTTTAACATATCTTCAACTTTCAATGTATCTGATCTAGCTCCCTATATTGCAGATGATCCAGTTTTGAGGTCAAAACCTCTTGAAGAAGGAGGGAATGATGAGGCCATTCAAGCTGAGCCAGACTTAACCGAGCCACAACTACAAGATGTCGAAATACCAGTCATTCATGAAGGCCCAATAACAAGACAAAGAGCTAAGATTCTTCAATACAAGTACAACCAAAGCATGCTACAAGCAATGTCTCAAGTGGATCAAGAGAGGCCAAGAGAAGACCATGAACAAGTGGAGCCACATAATGAAGCCCATCAACAACAAGCTTGGACTGGATTACTTGAAGAATGCCAAGAGCTAGCAAACGGCCCAGCTTCAAAGAGTCAAGATATTTGGCCCCTTTTACCAAATCAAGCCCAAGTCTACATGCTGACTATCTCGCCAATGAACCAAGACACTTAAGAGGGAAGATTCAAGTCTAGTCAAAGACACACTAGTCTCGGCCACCAAATAAGGTAAGTGTTCAATCAAGATTTATTCCTTTGACTAACTGAGTTTCTTGTTTTTGATCTTATGCAGGGACAATTTAGTTTAGTAGTCTTTTATTTCCTTTTTTTGAGTCCTTTAATGTAGCATTTTAATTTACAAGTCCTGTTGTTTTGAGTCTTTACTTTTAAAAGTCCTGTTGTTTTGAGTCTTTTTATTTCTTTGAGTCTAAGCTGCTAGGACCATTATATAAGGTCCCATTACAGCCTTGTAATTTTTAACCTTTCATATCAATAAAAATCGAACTTTCTTCAAACCAGTTTTCTTTGAGAGAAACTTGTTTAACCCTTTGCTCTAGTTGAGACCAGTACCTCCTAGATCAAAGTTCTCGTGTTTTATCACAAGTCTTACACAACTTGTGTGGTGCTTATCGATCCACCTTTGTTACTTAGCCATTTACATCGATCCAATTGTCTAGAGTTGCTCATTCACTTGGATCACCCCTTGGCCACCGATCAAAGCTTTGCTTCCGAGATAATATAAGCCCTTGACAGCTTGGTGCTTGTATCACCATAGGATCAGTAGTTCGTGGCTTCCTCTCCTCTCTATCGCTTCCTCTTCTTTTGGATGATCGAGCCCTAGAGGAATTGCTGTAGTATTGTTCCGAAGCCGAATGGTCACTGCTCTTTCTTGGTTTGTCCGAGACCATCTTCTCCATATCAGATCTCATGTTCTCAAACTCCCGTCGCATAAAAGACATCATTTGATTCATCATAGCGTCCATTATAAGTTTGTTTGCTGATCCACTTGGGTTTGCAAGATGTTCTTTTTCATGAGCCGATTCCTCTATTGTACCTGTTCAGATGACAAACCAAAGACCAGTAAAAGAGTTCGGAGAATACACAAACTAGTTTTAAAACTGACCCAATTTGATACAGAACATGATACAAGGATCAGACTTTTCGAAACCCTAATTCTCTCTCTCTAAGTTTTTGAAAGTTCTTTGAAATTCTGGATGACTTGTAACATAAACTAGATAGATCAGATGCTAGAGAGAACGATCCAACTAGTTTCACACAAAACGTCACGATCAAAATAGAATATGAAAAGTCATAAAATTGTTAAACACGAAAAGACACAACCGGGGTTTGGAGATTTGCTCTGATAGCACTTGATATGATCCGAGGTGAGGATCAAGCCCTGGATTACTCTCCAACGGTTGTAATCTCAAGGTCAAGCGACTTGATGAATTTGCGGAATGAAGTGAAGGTTTATGAAGTTATGAGATATGTAATTGACGGAATGATCAAGTGAGATTAGGGTTGAGATAGAAGATGGAATTGGTGGTAAAGACCTTGATACTTCTAAGAGAGATGGTAGATCTCTTAGACTATCAACAGAATTGGTTAGTTTGTAAGGCAAAGATAAAGATCCGAATACACTTAACAAAAAATGATCAAACAATTTCAGAGAAAGAGATAAATAGAAAAGGGTTTAATGGATTGAAAAGAAAGACAAGGAGTCATACATATAGAGTCTTGAATCACTTAGGGAATAACAACGACAGCTAAGACTTCTTAAAGACTTGACGACTAAGACTCTAAACTAGTTTGAATTTGAAAATAGGCTCCTCTCTTCCTTGATCGAGTCTGGTGAACAAATGGGCTGAGTTTTCATCAAGAGGCCTTTTTTAATAGTGTTGTGAACAAGCCTCATTAAAAACCTTGTTTGGAAAACCCAATTGGGACAAAACCAAACAAAGAGAAAAAGAGCACCACTCACAACACCTCTCTTGATGAACTCTTAAGTGGCTTGTATCACAACCAGAGTAGTTGGATTAGCCCACTTAAGATTGCCCTGAATAGTGTGTAATAACTTGTGAAAAGCTTGCTTGAACTTCATTGCTCTTGATCTTGTCATTGGACCAATCGGAAGATGCAAGTCTTTATCTTCGTCTATACTTGCTTCCTCGGGTTTCAGCTGCTCTTGGTCTTCATTTGATTCTAGCTCAGGCTCTCCTTGTTCTCCATCAATCTCCTCAGTTCCTAAGCTGGTCCTGGTCATATCACATTACCTCTGGCCGAAGGAGTTCGTGATTCACACGGATCACCAGTCTCTCAAGCATCTTAAGGGCTAGCAGAAGGAGGCATGCCCGATGGGTGGAGTTCATAGAGACGTTTCCGTATGTGATCCAATACAAGCAAGGCAAGGAAAACGTCGTGGCCGATGCTCTGTCCTAGAGATACACGCTGATCTCTACCCTGGACGCCAAGGTCCTTGGTTTTCGAACTGATTAAGGAAGCTTATGCTTCTGATCCAGATTTACAGGGAGTTTATGAATCCTTTCTTAAGTTTGCTTCGGGAAAATATTTTTGGAATGATGATTATCTGTTTTATGAGAATCACCTTTGCATACCTAACGTTTCTCTTCGTGATTTACATGTTAGGGAGGCTCATAGAGGCGGTCTTATGGGACATTTTGGAGTAACTAAGACTCTGGCTGTGGTTCAGGAACACTTTTTCTGGCCACACATGAAACGAGATGTGGAACGGATCTGCAGCCGGTGCACAACCTGTAAGTACGCTAAGTCCAAAAGCCAAAACCAAGGTCTATACTCTCCTTTACCCATTCCTAGTGCACCTTGGACCGACATATCGATGGACTTTGTGTTAGGTCTGCCTAGGACTAGACGTGTTAGGGACTCGGTATTTGTTGTGTAGATAGGTTTTCGAAAATGGCACATTTTATACCATGTCATAAGACCGACGATGCATCGAACGTTGCTGACCTGTTCTTTAGGGAAGTTGTACGATTGCATGGAGTGCCTAGGACCATAGTCTCGGATAGAGATACAAAGTTCCTTAGCTATTTCTGGAAGACCCTCGGTCTAAACTAGGAACCAAGCTCTGTTTCTCTACGACCTGTCACCCATAGTCCGACGGTCAAACCGAGGTGGTTAATAGGACCTTGTCTACTCTTTTGAGGTCTGTGATTAAGAAAAATATTAGGACTTGGGAAGACTGCTTGCCCCATGTCGAGTTTGCTTACAATCATGCTGTGCATTCTAGTACTTTGTATTCACCATTTCAGCTTGTTTATGGTTTTAATCCGCTTACTCCTTTGGATCTAACTCCTTTAAGCATGGACGGCAAAAAGAAAGCTGAGTTGGTTAAGCAGATGCATGAGAAAGCCAAGAAGAACATCGAGCATAAGACGGAGCTGTACCGGAAATATGCCAACAAAAGTTGGACCGAGAAAATATTCGAGCCAAGCGACTTGGTGTGGATTTACTTGAGGAAGGAACGATTTCCGGAAGAGAGGAAGTCCAAGTTGCTGCAAAAAGTGGACGGTCCCTTCACCATTTTGGAGAAGATCAATGACAACGCTTACAAAATTGATCTCCAAGGTAAGTATGCTGTTAGTTCCAGTTTTAATGTTGCTGACCTTATCCCTTTCGTGCCAGATGGAGCCGACTTGAGGACAAGTCCTTTTCAAGAGGGGGGGGGGGGATGATGCAATCATGGAACCAGAGGCTGAACTGCGGGTCGAAGATCAGGTCGTGGAGCAGGAACCGGACGCGGCCTTGGTCATTCGGGACGGACCAATGACGAGATCATGCACCAGGAGGTTGGAAGGAGCCTTTCAAAAGATACTTACCGAGCTCAGGAACCAGAACATGGAACCAGCAATAACCGAAGCCGTGACCCTTCTCACGTACTAGGGTACTTAGTGACTTTGGCTTGGTATAGTTATTGGTACTCTTTTTCCTTACATCCGGGTTTGTCCCAATGGGTTTACCGGGTGGGGTTTTAATGAGGTCAAAGGCTATACCACCACACGGCCGCGGTTCAGTACGTGCTTGGTTCACGGGTCAGAAGCTCAAGGGTCATTTTCGCTGAAGCAGCTCAAGGGTCAGTCAAAGCCAGGCGAAGAGTCAGTCTAAGTTTTTAGTCGAACTTATTTATTTTCTTTGTAATTTCCTATGCATGACCCTTGGTCTGATCCGCCCCTATATAAGGCGATGAACTCCTTTCATTTTCACTCATTCACTTTTCTTAATAAAAGTTGATTCTCAGGTGGTTAGCCTAGAATTATTTTCGTTTTATCAAGTTCAGTCCATAGAACTTGACACAGCCATCGCCTGCAAAGTTTAAAGTTTTTGTTAGTCGTAATCGGGGCATAGGGATTTTCGGGAACCTAGTTCTCACGCCTTAACATCCTTTTACCGACGAGTTCTTTTTATCTTTGTTCCACCCCCTTGTTTCAAATTGTTCTTCGTGAGTTTGGGCCTAAGGACTTCCGGGAGTCATTCTCTCACGCCTAGCATCTGCTCCAAAAATCGTTCGAAATCAACGATTTATCAACCCACCGATCCAAGTGTGTGAATTCCTTTGGGAGATCGTATCAGCTTAGCTACCGCCTAGTCTAGTCCTAAATCATGAATGAGCATGTCACTAGGAACAGTCTAAAAGCACAGAGTCAACTTTCATTGATTCATGTTCACCATTCCCTTTAAAACGTATTTTGTTTTGAAAACCGATTTTGAAAAATTTTAAGGAAAATGCAAAAAGTGTAGATAATGCAAGACTCATGAAAGAAAAGTGGTTATAAAGGGATGAAATCCTCCCCCAGACTTAAATCAAACTATCCTCAGTGTGAAACAAGTCGAGATTGGATGAGAAGGATGCATAGATTATCGAATTTATAAGGCCAAAGAGAACTTACCTGGATCCGGGATGCTGGTGGAGATGGACCGGATTCATTCGAAGAGGTTTGGGAAGGTGATAGGTGGTGATGGAAGGTGGTGGGTAGTGATGAATGAGGTGGAGTGGGGCTTGGTGAGGTGGAATGAGGTGAAGTTGGTGGTTTGGGGTCGGGTATCATCTGAACGACCATTTACCGCAGTCAGAGGTCACGCGACCGCGGTGAAATGGTGCTCGGCCGCGGTCAGAAAGATGCGGCCGCGGTCGAAGTG